CACATGTAAAACGATCGAAACATGCATTTTATCCCTCTTTAAAGGATCAAATATACATTTAACGTAAATCGAGGGGTTGAGTTCCTTGATCAAATTTCATCTTTTCCACCTCAAATAGTCATCTTTGTCTCCAATTACTAAACCTACAATACAAAAGTAACAAACTAACTTAATTACACATACTAAATATAAAATCATACCAAACTAATATCTTTAATGTAAATATTGGGTTTCCTCCCAATTAGCACTCTTGTTTATAGTCATTGGCTCGACTTAAAAGAGTTGGCTCATTTCATTGAAGAAAAATCATCCAAAGGATATATGAGTCCTTTGGGAATGATTTCACCTTGCCAAATAGGATTTTAATAATTGACCGTTGATCTTGAACCGTTCATTTCTAGCATTCACCACTTCAACGGCTCCATAAGGAAATACTTGAGTGATTTCAAATGGTTCCAACCACCTTGATTTTAGTTTTTCGGGAAACAACCTAAGATGTGAATTGTATAAGAGCACTTTTTGCCCCACCTCAAATTATTTGGATACAAGATGCTTATCATGCCAATATTTCACTTTTTTCTTATAGATTTTTGCATTCTCGTAAGCATGTAGCTGGTGTTCCACAAGTTCGCTCAACTCAAATAGTCTCATCCCACCTACAAGATGTAAATCCATATTAATCGTTTTAATCACTCAATATGCTTTATGTTCGATCTCTATAGGTAAATGACAAATTTTTTCAAATACTAATCGATATGGCGACATCCCCAAAGGTGTCTTAAATGCCATTTGATAAGCTCATAATGCATCATCAAGTCGTCTTGTCCAATCCTTGCTTGATTTGTTCACCGTTTTCTCCAAAAAGAGGTTGATCTCTCGGTTGGCTAATTCAATTTGTCCGTTTGCTTGTGGGTGGTATGGTAGTGATGTTTTATGCCTACAACCATACTTAAGTAATAAAGAATCAAATTAATTATTACAAAAGTATTTTCTTTCATAACTTACTATGGCCCTAGGAATACCGAATCGACTAAAAATGTTCTTTTTAAGGAATTTAAGCACTACTTTAGTATCATTTGTAGGTGAGGCAATTGCCTACACCCATTTGGAAATATAATACACCGCACTAAGATGTATTTATTGTTAAAAGAACTAGACAATGGCCCCATAAAATCTCTACCCCACATATCAAATAACTCTACTTCTAAAAATGTGGTTAAGGGCATTTTATTTTTTCTAAAAATATTTCCAGTTCTTTGGCAGGCGTCACAATTTTTAACATATTCCCTAGCATCCTGGTACATGGTAGGCCAATTAAATTCTGATTGCTACACCTTAGATATGATTTTAGAAGTACTAAAATGACCCCCCATTTCTAAGTTATGACAATGATGTAAAATATCACGTTCCTCTTTCTCAGGAATACATTTTCTTACCATACCATTGGTACAATGCTTGTAGAGCAGTGGTTCCTCCCAGAAATAGCTTTTAACATCATGCAAAAATTTCTTCCTTTGGTGATAATTGAATTCTCTTGGAATTACTCAACTTACCAAAAAGTTAGCAAAGTCCGCATACCATGGAGATTTAGTTAAAACTAGAACAAATTCATTCGAAAAATTCACCTTGATTAGAACTTTATCATTAGTAGGGATGTACTCTAATCGCGACAACTGATCTGCCATAAGGTTCTCCAATCCCTTTTTATCCTTTATTTTCAAGTCAAATTCCTGCAATAAGAGAATGCAACGAATTAAGTGCGGTTTTGCATCTTTTTTTTTATGGAGCAAGTATTTAAGAGATAAATGGCTCGTATAAATGATAACTTTAGATTCTACTAAGTAGGATCTAAATTTATCTAAAGCAAATATCACCGCCAAAAACTCCTTTTTTTCTGTGGTTGCATAGTTAATTTGTATTTCATTTAGCACTTTGCTTGCATAATAGACCACATGCAACCTTCCCCCCTTTCGTTGACCTAATACTGCTCCAATTGTATAATCGATTGCATCACACATAAGTTCAAATGAAAGGGGCCAATCCGGTGAAGTGATGACCAGTGTTGAGATCAACTCTTTCTTCAACCTGCCAAGAGCTATAAAACAATTATCATCAAATTGAAATGGAGTATCTTTACATAGTAAATCACATAATGGCTTAGCTATTTTGAAAAATTCTTAATAAAATGTCTATAAAAACCCGTATGTCCAAGAAAGTTTTTTATCCCCTTGACATTAGTTGGATGTGGCATTCACTCAATCATTCTATTTTTGCCTTATCCACCTCGATTCCTTGAGATAAAATCTTGTGCCCAAGAACAATTTTTTCACGAATCATAAAATGACACTTCTCCCGATTAAGCACAACATTGGTTTCCTCATATCTCTGCAAAATTAAATCCAATTTGTAAAGACAATGATCAAATAATGAACCATACACTGAAAAATCATCCATGAAAATCTCCATAATTTTCTCTATATAATCAGAAAAAATTGCTATCATGCAATGCTAGAATGTAACAGGGACATTGCAAAGGCCAAATGGCACTCTTCTAAAAGCAAATGTGCCATACGGACAAGTAAAAATGATCTTTTCTTGATCTTCGGGAGCTATTGCTATTTGATTATAATTTGAAATTCATCAAGGAAATAATAAAATTCATAACCAACAATACGCTCCAATAATTAATCAAGAAAGGGTAGGGGAAAGTGATCTTTTCTTGTAACTGCATTTAGCTTCCTATAATCAATACACACTCGCCATCCTACCACAAGTCTAGAGGGAATAAGTTCATTATTTTTTCCTTTAATTATGTTAGTTCCATCTTTCTTTGGAACAACATGAATAGGACTTATCCATACACTATCTAAGATAGGGAAGATTATACCTGCATCCAACTATTTGATAATTCTAATCTTACCGCCTCTTTCATGTTCAGATTAAACTTTCTTTGTATTTTGACTACTGATTTGCAATTCTTCTCCAAAAGAATGAGATACATGCATATAGAAGAGTTAATTCCTTGTATGTCGTAGATGGTCCATCCGATAGCCTTCTTGTGCTTCCTTAAAACTCTTAACAACTTATTGAGTTACTCTTCTTCCAAATAAGCACTGATAATCACTGGTAGAGTTTTATTTCACCAGAAACTCATACTTCAAGTGGCTAGGAAGTGGTTTGAATTCAAACTTTGGAGTTTCTATCTTCGAAGGTGGTGAAAATCTCTTTCCTTGTCTAAAATTTTCATACACATACCCCTTCCTATAAGGAGGTTGTGCATCAAGATATTGGGCCAATGCTTCACTTTCTTCATCATTTTTCCCTTGCATCCCTGCACTTGATAAATAGAGCTCAAGAGAATCGATATCAAAATTGATGCGATCCAATTCTTGGGTTAACATATCAATTGTGTCAATTGAACAAGTATGATCAGTAAAAAAATGATACTTTTCCATTTCATTCAAATTGAATACTACTTCTTCTTTAACCTATTTGAAACTTAAGTTTGCCATTTTTGATGTTAATAATAGTACCCGCAGTTGCTAAAAATGGTCGACATAAAATTATTGGCATAGACATATCTTCCTCCATATCTAATGCCACAAAATCCATAAGAATGATAAATTTTTGAATTTTAATCAGCATTTTCTCTAAAACCCTAATGGATAACTAATATATCGATCTGTTAACTGCAAAGTAATATTCGTGTGTTTGAACTCATGCAATCCTAGTTGTTAGACACCATAAAAGGAATTAATGATATGCTTGCACCAAGTTCACATAGTGCCTTTGAAAACTCAATGTTATCGATGTTGCAGGGTATGGAGAAACTCCCCTGATCTTTCAATTTTGGTGACAGCTTGTTTATGATAAATGGCACTGCATTCCTGCTTTAATGCTATCGTTTCCTGATCATCCAATTTCCTCTTTCGTGTCATAATCTCCTTCAGAAACTTGGCATATGAAGGAATCCACAAAATAGCATCAATAAAGGAAATATTAATATGCAATTTTTTTAAAAATTTTTACAAAATTTTCGAACTCTTTGTCAAATTTATTTGGCTTGAGTCGTTGAGGAAATGGCACTGTCGAAGGTATCAGAACGGTAGTGGAGGATATTTGTTGTTCTTCTTCCAATTTCTCTTTACTACCTTTCCTACACTTACCTCTTTCTCTAATTGCTCATCTTCTTCTTTATCACTCTCCTCGTTTTCCTTATTTTTCAACACTGTAGGGTCCTCTAGTTATTTACCACTACGAAGAGTAATGGCCTTGACATGTCCCGAGGATTCACCTCCGTTTTACTCAACAATTCCTCTTGATTTCGATTGTTGATAGAATTGGCGATTTGACCAATCTGGACCACATTTCTGTGCATTTCGGTCAATTGATCCAACCGCCCCTCTATTCGCTCAAATCTCTCTGAAGTTTCCTTTGTCAATTTTTCCACTGCAATCTCCCAATCAGGTTTAGTATTCATCTGTTGTGGCCTTGGTTGAAATTCGGGCGGATTATTAGGCCTTTAAGGATTGCCTTGCTCCTTCCATCCAAAATTGGGATGATTCTTCCATCCTGAATTGTATGTATTTGAGTATGGATTGTTTTAAGTATTCCTGTCGTAATTATTAACAAATTGAACCTACTCAACATCAACACGCTCGTTAAAATTATGTTTTCCTCCGCACATGGAACAACAAGCAACATGTGCATTAGTAGAAGAACATGGACCATATCCAGTTTGATGATGTAATATTTGCATCATATTATTCATTTGAGCACTAACCATATTGATAGCATCAATTTCAATCATACCTGTTTGTCGTCTTGGATTATCTCTTTCATTAGTCCATTGATAATTATTAGCCGCTATTTCTTCGATCGAACTTTGAGTTTTTTGAGGTGATTTTGCCATCAATGCTCTCCCTGCGACTACATCGATAGTAGTTTTAGTAGAGAAAGATAAACCGTTATAGAAGATTTGCATAATAAATCAATCGAAAAGTCCATGTTATGGACATCTTTGAAATAATTTTCTAAACCGTTCCCAAGTTGCATACAACGATTCATCATCGAATTGACTAAAACTAGTAATATCTATTTTAAGTTTAGCTGTTTTACCCGATGAAAAGTATTTATTCAAAAATACCCTAGACAAATCATCTCAAGTGGTCAAGATGTTAGGGGCATAAGAATGTAACCAAATTTTAACCTTATCCGTCAATAAAAATGGAAACAACCTTAGCCTATTGCATCCTCACTAACTCTATTCATTTTAATAGTGTCACATATCTCCAAAAATGAGCCTAAGTATGCATTAGGATCCTCTACGGCATTACTTCTAAATTAAGATTATTGCACTATTTGGATTAATAATGGTTTAATTTCAAAATTATTAGCATTTACTGTCGGCTGCGCTATACTTGTTTGGGATCCTTGAGTTTCCGATGGAGCGAAATCCCTTAGATCTCACCTATTTGCTTCGTTTTTCACCATTTTTTCTTCGAAAGATAGCTCTATTGCGATTCCCTCAATTTGATAAATCTCTTCTTCTTGCTGTTGTGGTATACGCCTTCTTTGTCTACATAGTGTTCTTTCAATTTTCGGATCAAAAGGTGCTACTACCTGTAAAGTCCGATGCATACACTACAAACAAGAATAAAAGAGATTAAGTGGCAATTAATATACAAAAATTAATAAGAATTCTAACTTAACTATAAACAACTTAACTAATAAGTACAAATAATGTCTAAATTAATAAAGCTAATTAGGTCCTAATATTGCCACTCCCCAGTAACGGCGCCAACAACTTGGTGAATTTTTTGTGACGCCCCCATTTCTCCCTAAGGCGAACCAAAGGGTATCCGCTGAACGCCTGCCCAACTCTCGCCAGGATTCAAGCAATTTCCGTTCAAGATTAATGCAATACTAGACATCACAACTAAATAAGACAAGTTAAATAATGCGGAAGCCTTCAACTTAACAATTTATAATAATTATCCAACCCTTACATCGAATATCCAAAGGATACTTAAATGCTAAAATATACAATATCCAGATACATCAAATATCCAAATCATACATTAGCTTCCCAAAAGTACAACCAGTAAGAGATCTAACCCAAATTACATTAGAAACCCTAAGTCAAAGTACATCAAAAGGGGTTTCTCCAAATCCATACCATGTCCAGTCCTGTTAAGAAAAACAAATCTACAGGATTAGCAAAACGCTTGTGAGGCCAACAACACATATGCAAGCACATAGTCCAAGTAACAAACCCAAATAACAAGTCAATTGATAAAGTACAAGTAATTGATAATTCCAATAAGATGTAAATAGAAACAATTCAAGGATATGGTAGCTCTTAGGAGCTAAGTTCCACTTGCTTTGGCAAGGTCATTCGTATACCTTCCCGCGATGACACTCCGTCAACCGAGTTGATATTTCCAATTTGTAGATCACCATTTACTTCCATCCGTCCACCGTACATATCCCCACCAGGCCCAAACGTCATTTATAAGGCGATACTTCAACGAGTATGCCAAGTAAGATCTCTCCAATAGATCAAGCTTATCATGTAATTCTCATGACTCGCCAAGGTTCCCGACCAAACCCATGCCGATTCGAGTCCAAGGTTTGCCTATGAGTTTAGACGTCCCCCAGTTAACATTTATACGTTGAGGAGATTCACTACAGCGACGTGTGCAGCCATAGCATACCATTACATTTCATTCATTCATTCAATACATTTCAATCATTCATTTAAGTCATTCATAATTCATTCATTTCATTTTAATCATGAGTCATTCATTTCAAATAAGAACGAGTGCGATAAAGTACACACTCGCCTTCATTTTCAAAATCTCCAAACAATTATAACAATTAAGCATGTATCAAGTATTCATATACTAGACACTCACCAATATAAGTAATAAGGAAGAAAAGAGGCACTTGAAGTTCAAGCATCCACCGTGGGATCCTCTTAAAGGTCCTCTTGTGTGCCAGAGCATTTAGTAATGAACAATCACTTATAAACCCCAATTATTAAAAAAGATTGCACATTTGTGCGACCTCAGAAAATTTCACGAAAATGAGCCTTAACTATTCGAAAATCGAGACTCAAAAGTGAGGTTTTAAAACACAAGCAAATCTGATTTCCATCTTTGAAATCGAGTGTAAAACGATCAAGTGATATCAAAGGAAGAGAGGGAGCTTGGAAAAACTCCATTTCCTTTAAGTTATGAAATTCCAGATTTGGTGCACTCACTTTGCAAAATTGTATCTCACTCTCTACAAGTCCAAAATTGGAAAACTTGGTACCGTTGGAAACATCTTTCAAAGTACTAAAGGTTCTTAGAAGACAATTTTCCATGATTCCAAATGAAAGGTATTCAAAATTCGGCTCAAATTTTCTGTTCTAGACTATCAAGGCAGTTTCGAGCTTGGTTTTTTGCCAATTTTGAAAATTTAGCAAAATTCACAGAATTGGAACTAGCCTCTGAAATTTGAAACTCAACTAGAGTTGCAATCAAAGTTTAAAATGGAACATGCAGAACGAGAATTGAAGTTTTGACTATCAAGATATGGTAGCTCAAAGTTACCCAAATTTCCTTGTTAAACAAGGATTTTCCAAAATCAAGTCATGAACTTTGGAAATTTAGTTGAGCAATGAAACGGCCTCAAAATATTACCAAATTAGCAGTATAATACTACCATATAAGGAGTATTTCTATGCCAAATTTCATGGGTAAATAAGCACGGAAGTCGGTTAACTAAAGCACCCAAATTTCTAAAATTTCAAGGCAAAACTGCCTTGTGTACAAAATGTCCTTTTTCCAAACTTTTGGCCACATGAAACTTACAAACATGGTACATTTTAGTAGATAATATTTATAAAGCATCCAATATATGTTTGATGGTGATTAACACCAAGAATCTCGAATTAACAAGCCTCAATCGAGTTTAGTAACAATTCTGTCCAAAAGGAGAGTTTTTCTTCAAGAAGTCAGTTTCGAAATACGGCCACAAATCACTCAATTCAACTCCAAATTGGACGTGGTTGGTGGAGTTGGAAAACACTTTCATAAAGCTACAATTTCTCAGAAGAAACCATTTTCAAAATCTATCCACAACTAACTCACATTTGAGCATCAAATTATAGTTCATGTTCTGCCCTGTAGTGAACCAACAAAACAGCACATCAAATTTCAAATAAATGGTTTGGCTCACACAAGTGGAACCAAGACGTGTATTTTATACCAATAGAAAGCTGGAAATATCTAGTTTCCAGTGCCATAAATGGTACTTGATTTCGATATCGGAGTAAAAAGTTATAGCCAAAACAACAGGATTGCCTGGGCAATCCGGGAAAATTTTCCAGTTCTTCCATACTTTGGAAATCAACACATTTGACCAACCAAATCATGTTATTTTTCAATGAAACTTTCTACACTATCCATATAACATGTATACATCATAAAAAAGCCATTAGAACCTCAAAATTTTGGCACCAAAGTGCACGAACAGGGCAGGGGTAAAATGGTCACTTTTGTTCAATGCACCATCCTTGAGTTTCTATCAATAACCCAACATTATTCCACTAATATAAGCACTAAACTAACATTAATTTCATCATCAATCACCAAGTCAGTCCATCCAACCAAAGTGGGAGTTCATAGAGCCCACACAATAATTTTTCAACATAAACAAGCTACCCATATGCATGCATGCTCTTAAATGTACACTACTACTTCCATAAAACAAGATTCAAAGGGTTGATCGTCACTTACTCTCCTAGTTGTGCAAGGCAGAAATTTCGGCTCTCTTTGGCTCAAGAAAACCCGCGGATTGCAACTCTAAAAAACCCGCAGATTGCAGCTCTTTTTCTTAGCTAGATGAACTCTCCAAGTATTGAGCTAAGTGGTGTTCAATTTTGGTGTGAAATGGTTGAGATTTGGTGCAAGAATTTGAGAAGAAGAAAATGGAAGAACTTGGTGTTGTTTTTCTTTCCCTTGGCCGGCTCTTCTTGGAGTGAGGAGAGAGAGTGTTTGTTCAATTGAGGCTTCCAAAAGAAGCTTTAAATGTGTGGCCCATGTCTGCCCAAAAGTCAACTCTCCTTCGCGCGCGCGCACGCGCGTTTTGTGCTCGATTTCTCTCGAGTTTATTTCATTAGTGAATTAAATCTCTAATGCATTTATATTCATATAAATATTATTCACTCTTAATTGTCCCAAAATAAGGGTCTAAAGTCCCTCAATTAAATCGTACGTGTAAAAACACGTATTTCCAATTTAAGCGCGATAAAGTGAAACTTTCAAGAAATTCTTATAACGTTAGTACTAATAACTATCACTTGAGTATTTAAGCACAAAAATACCTATTTTAAGACCATTGTGCAAGCCTCTAATTTTCCAACCTTATTGTATTCTCGAATCGATTATTGAATCGAATCGCGTATTCACTATTTTTACTTAACGAGCTTCCAAAAATTAAATTTTGAAACAAGTCACTTTAAAAATATAACGAAACTATAGACCCATGTATTTAGGTCTAAAAAGGTTAGAAAATAATATTCGGGGCAATTGGCCAAATAAATATTTAAATGATCTCGTAATAGGAGTTTTAAAATAAGAAAATTTACAGGTTCTCACCTGACTCCAGTATTAATTCGTCAAATCTCCAATTAATTCCTTATCAGCGCGTCTTTCAGAAAATTATCGACGTGCAAGCGGTATACACTTACTTAGAACTCATTCACCTTTAATTTCTCAATTAACTTTTCTTAATCTACTATTGATCATTCTTAATTTTTCAAGATAAATGCACTGTCGAATAGAATATCGCCTTGAAACACATGTACTCATTATTCATCACTTAACGAACCTCCGATAATTAAATTTACTAACGGGACGTTTTAAAAACATAAGGAAGACATTGTTCCATGTGAATGGACTTAGAATGGTTGAAATAAATTATTTGGAGAAAACAGGAGAATAAATATTTAAATAAACCAATAACATTCAATAAAAATAAGAAATTTTTGTTGATCCTCACATCCTCTCCTCCTTAAAAAGAATTTCGCTCTCGAAATTCACTTACAAATCAATCCCT